AAACGACTTTTCAGGTTTAGGAGCTAGCTCGTGTCACGTTTCCCACGGCGGCCGGCGGTGCCAGTTGCATATGTATGTACGCACACGCAAGAAAATCCGCCGTAAAATGCATCTTACGCATTTCGCGGATGTTGAACGCTCCGGAGAAATATTGATATTTTTACATCACACGAGTTCATTATTGCTCCTCCGCGATATTAAGTTTGCATAACGCCTCGGCCATTAACGGCTACCATTGGCAATTAATGTCGACGTACGTTAGACTATAATGCACACGTTTATATTTAAAAGTATGCGAAATATTACACACTTAGAGTAATAAAGACAGTAAAGTTTAAAAAGACAGTAGCGATAAGGAACTTTAATATACAAAACAATTATTAATAATTTAAATAAATCATTAGTTAATTGTTCATTTCTTAGCAGAAGTCATTAAAGTGTACGATTGGAAGGCAAAGTGGAGTGAAGTGAGTCACGCGTGTCTTCAAGATTAGTCGGAATTGTTATTAAGTCATCGTGTACGGTACAAGGTATTCGCGGTGAATCAAAAATGGCGATAAATGATAATTAAATCAGCGATGATATCATCAGCATAGAGGTAGCCAAGGTCGCTCAACAAATTCAATTGCACAATTATCTGGGAAATCAGTTCACCGTCGCGACTAAGGCGATGTAGAAAGGCGTCTGTATGCCACCGTGCTCGCGATTATTACCTTTACCTTATCCAGTTACTTCGACGGCCTCAAGGTTACGAGAACGTTGCACCTATTCGACGATTTCCCAGGCGAGTGCGCTCGCTCTAAGCACGCGGCAGAAAAATTAAGATATACATGCACGGTGATATATAATATATTGCGAGAGGCAAGAAAATATCGGGCGTAGAATAAAACGCCTCGGAAATACTCCAATGCCATATTTAGAGAGGAGCTCGTTTAGAGGGAGAAATCGTAAAAACTGAGAGTTACTAATTTCTACGTAGGATCACCCAGGAAGTGATCGAGCGAAATATTTGGGGTACGCGAGATATAAATCCAGCGGCCGAGTCTCTTCGTTCAATTGCATAAATAAATGCGTCGCGCACATATATTCGTGTATACGTGCTCATAAAAGAGACACTTGTGGAATCATGTTCTTCGCAATCGCGCTGAGAGCTATTGGCGAAATCTGCGCGACGATCGCGAAGCGGCAGATAATCGCAGGCGCGATTATTGCCTCGCGCGCCTATCGTTTTACGACGTTGAAACATAGAGCTGGGAATGTATTTAAAATACTTTTAATTAAAAACAGTATTTACAAGCCAAGACAATTATTTAAATTGTCTTGGCTTGTAAATACTGTTTTTAATTAAAAGTATTTTAAGCGGAACACATGAAAATGTTTTGTATTTCATGGGAGTATTTCGTATTTTTGTATTTCGAATACTGAGACTGACAATCTTATTATTTAAATTACAAAGTACAGAAAACTTTCAATCTTCCAATTTTAAGTATAAAATACGTAATACTTTCATGTGCTCCGCTAAAACACAAAATACACAGTAAAGTAAATCATACTTACTATTCTTAAGACTGTAAGCAAGAATAACTTATACTTGACTTTATATACTTATATTTTTTATCGCGCAGTAAAGTAAATTTTGTCAGGCTAAGCCAAAAAATACATCGATAAAATAAATTTTAGTGAGATGTGTGATAATTTATAGATTTATTTTACGAAATAGTACCTTACAAAAAGTACCTTAATAAAAAGTACCTTAATAAAAAGTACCTTACAGTATGACTGTATATAACGATGGCTCATTTACCAGAAAAGTAAAGTAAATTTTACATAAGTGGGCGCTTGTCCCTATATGGATCTGCATATTCCATAAAATTCACTAAAATTTTAGCTCATAAATTACTTTGCATTTTTCAGCGTGCAGGCTCAATAATCAGACTACGACGCGAACGTCACCAATTTACGATGCTTTTCCCCGGGTATCCCACGCTCAAGAGACTTCGGCCGTGCCCGGCAATTATGTATCAATTATCATTTGTGCGACTATTAATGAATTAAAGGCGCTTATAATGCCGGTCTCACGTTCATCGCGCATGAATCTTTGAGGGCTAAAGCGCGTGAGTATCTATCCGCGAGCTGGCCGTATATCCCGCAGATTTTATCACCCTGTCCAATGTATCGATGAAAAATGCCTATCTTTTCCAGGCTTCGCTTTAATAAGCATTGCCCGCGGTGAGCACGTTCGCCGCCGCGCTGAGAAATTGTTAATGTCATTGCGCCATCGTGCATCGCAATGATATAATTACCACATTATGATATACGAATTCTCTGTCTCTATTAGAGCTTGATTTTAATCGGTCGTTTCATTTTTTTGAATGTGTTGCGATTCTTGGAAATACTATAATATTTCTTAAATGATATTCCTCGAAATTTTCTTAACTAATATTCGCAAATTCAGCGTGCGCACAGAAAAATACATGCTATTTAAATATTAATTATTTGTTTTAAATATATATTTCAAAAGTTCACATAAATCTGCAAATCTAGATAGGTAATCATAAATTCATCAATCAAACTTAATCAAAATATATTCTAAATTTTTTTATTCTGTAAACTCCACTTTTAGATCTTAGAGTAAATCATAACTACTATATTTCGCCCGAAAAAATAATAACATTTATCACTAATGTTTCTCTTGTTTTCGCTTTTTTTTTTGTAACATAATTTATATGCCTAAATGTATGTTGCGACAGCTATTTTTAATTTATTATATATTGTTCATATACGTGTATTTTTTATTAGATACAAAATAAAATTAAATTACACTATAAACCGCAGAAATATCTGCAACAATTGTAAAATTTGGTTTGAAGTTCGGTTCAAGATTCGATTCAAAGCTTACCTCGAAACTTAACTCGAAGCTCTATACTCGAAACTCAGTTCGAAGATCGGCTAGAAACTCAACTTGCGGCTTACAGCTCAAAGCTCTGTTCGAGATTCATTTCATGACTTCGATTCGATAATCTAGATGCACCTTTAAATTTAAAATAAATTTGATTAGTATAAAAAGTCATTTTTTTGCTAAAATTTTTCGTTAATATTCTTTAAAATATAATAAATTCTTGTTTTTAGTATATGAATCTCTCTCTCTCTCTCTCTCTCTCTCTCTCTCTCTCTCTCTTTCTCTCTCTCTCTTTCTCTCTCTCTCAAATTTGTAATAAGTATATTTTAAGCCTATATAGTATTAAGAAAATATTCTTTGCTAAAGATAACTGATAGAAATTTCATGCATTTTTTGAACAATTATTAAACAATTATACTAATTTCTGTCTACTAACTGAGAAGGAAAACTACTTAGAATCCCAATCAGGATGTGACGCTTTACTTGCAGTTACTGCATACAAAAGTTGCGTAAAATCTGAATCCATTTACTGAATAGAAACACAACAAATAATAGATATTAAATTAATTAATAAGTCTGCTTATGAAACGGACATTGTCCATTTTATACTCAGTATTGGCACAACTAATGAGAATACAGTAATATTAGATAGTAACTGGATAGGTGTCTAAGCAAAACTGCATACATTTCTATCAGGGTACTTACAAAAAAAAGGTAAACTAAATAATCATTTTTCTTATAGCAGAATGATATTTTTCTATATACTTTAAATTAAAAAAAAATGCATTTTTGCTTAACGTGTTAATGTTAATTGAATCTTTTTCATTTTAAAAATCAAAACTCTCTTATCTCTAAGAGATAAGATTATGCAACTTAAAATTCTGTAAGGTTGCAAAAAACTTTTATCAACAATTTACAACGTAATTGAAAAATATATTCGAGTTCATTAAATAAGCTAATATCAATTAAAGTTAAATTATTAGAAATATTTGAAGAGTTTAAATTGATAGAAACAAGAAAACATAAGAATTTGAAAAAGTCGTATTTTTTCACATTTCATAATTTTTCACGTAACATAATTTCTCGAGAGAGACAGAAAACGTACTTCCTTACAATGTATATACGAGCGTAATCAATGGATGTGTTTATTAATGCAAAGAATTTTATTTTTGCCAATTGTGAACGGACAGGACATCTCGGAATCAGAGATGGGTGGAGAGTTCGGTTATTTTCGCGTTTCTTTTTGTAGAGGCACTCGTATTCGCGCGGTGCAGTATCATTTTATTATCGCAGTAAACGCTAATTGTGGTACTTATTTACCTATTTGATGATTCTATCTGGCAAAAGTATAATACATTTGCTGCCATTATGGAGGACTCCGCACTAAACTTATCCGCCATTAAATGCGCACTCGTGGGTTTATCTTACCGATCTCCCCTTAGCGATAATTAGTTTCTTAATGTGCTTCTCACAAAACCAGTGCGCCCTATCAAATTCCGTACATAATTGCATAATAAACTTATTTATTTTATTGCCGCAAATGCAATAAAACAATCGTGCTCTAAACAGAAGATTTAAACTGCCTATAATTTACACTTAAAAAAATACTAAATTTTAATAAATATTTGTTTGGAAAGTTCTAAGTAAATATTTATTAAATGTAAACATATATTTATTTACAATTGGGACAAGAAACTTAATTTAGTTTAATTATCATTTTTTATTGAGTAAATATTGCTGTAAATAAATATTTATATTTAGTAATATTAAAACAATATGTATTAAAAGATTTAGTAACTTTTTTCAATGTACTATTATCTTAGATCGATTAAACGCGCTGCGCGCGTAATTTGAATGAACGTTTCTTTGGTGCAGTTCCTCAATTCGTGCAATGAACGCATCCATGCGCGTGCAATCAAATCGCTCAATCTAGCAGCCTACCCAACCTGTTTTTAACGAGATATTTCCGTATTGTCGCGCGCACACACGCGAAAGCGCGCCTCGGTATCCTCGTCCAGTCGTGTCAGCGCTAAATGGACCATCAGGGTCGCCATAAATCCCGGAGCTATCAGATCAGCGGCCGCAGTAGACTGTTCCAGATATAACGACGGACCACCGCCCAGTAATGGAAGAGCTCTCTGTCGACGCGCAAGAGATACGTTCCAGATGGGATCTCTTCTCGCGGACCTGTCCGCGAGGACACGCGGACTTCACCTGACTTCGTCATTAACCCTTTCGCTTTGTTTTTGACGAAATGGTATTAAATATAAATATCATATAAATGCTTTGTGCATGCTTAGATTCTCAAGTTTGCTTCTAATTGTACTATATATCGAGCTGTATTTATACAAAATAATTTATTAATAAAGAAGAGAGAGCTTTTAAACATATTGCTATATAAATTTCTAATAATCACTTCAAGTTCAAATACTCAGATATTCTCAAGAAAACAAATAATGTGATATTTCGTTTAATTTTATATATTATATTATATAATATAGTGTATACAGTATAATATATAATTTTGTACAGTATATTTTAAGTAATAAAATATATTTAAAGAAATATATTTTTTAAGTAAAAGTTTATCTAAACAAATATAATATTAATATAATTATTTTTCAAAGCGCGCACATGCTTGCGGAAAACAAATTTAAATCGAGATTTTTTCAAATTGATATACTTTTACGTCACAAAATTGAATATGTTTTTGAAAATGGAATATACAGAAAGACCAATTTTGCAGAATCTAAAAATTTAGCTAGATACAAAACTGAAAATAATTTTATTGAAGCATCAAAATAATTACGTGGAATTTCAATTATGATGAACAATGTAGCAAAAAGTTTTAACATTCCAGCAACTTGTTCGTACATCCTAAATTATTTTGATAGTTCAACACAATGGTAGTTCGAACAACATAATTTTCTGTATCCAGCTAAATACACAATACACATACATATACATTAGCAAAACCATTCTTTTCGTGTAAAATTCATGGACATTTTAATTACAATAAGTTTTTTCTAAATAGAACAATTTGAAGATTCAAAAATGCGAGCAATAAAGCGATAACATATCTGTTTGATTTTCCGACGTTTATCATCTACTTAACGATTGATTTCGGATTAGCATTGATAAATTGGATAAGCATCTCCGTCCAAAATCTATCGAGAAGCAGCACATTTCTCTGAAACAGATAAAGAGCCGAGAAACATTGTTAATTACACGGTCGTGCTGATATTGATACCGGAGACGATGTAACTGGGCCGCCAGTAAAGATGGCATCGTGCACACTAACGAGTAACAAGTGGCGTGACGTTTCAGTTAAGCTTTACTTCATCCAGGCAAGAAGGCAGATATCAGTATGCCACGACGAACTACCTATCGCCTTGCTTGGCCGAAGGCTAATTAACACGGAGATTCATTATCGACACCTTAGCTGCTCGTCCGACTACTGTCTTAATTTAAACAAGATCCGTGGTGTTTGCATTATTTGTTGCTGTAATTGCAATTAATGATTTATAACTAGGAAAATATTGTTGATGTAACTTTCCAAAAGACTGACGCGTTCTATTTCTACACTGAGAAAAAAGTTTTTGATATTTATGACTTCATAATTAAATATATGCTACCATTATTACTGCTACAATGTTAATAATAATAATAGATATATGTAGAGTCTTATCAATACATACATTACATTGATACCAAAATGACTACAAACTGTAGTTACTATAGGGAAGTTGTAATTATTATAATTTAACTATAATTTATAGCCTGTATATGAATACTTTTTGGAGCAACTGTATAAAATAGTATATAATGTAACTGTACAACATTACGTTATCTAATGATAATTATATAATGTATAATTACGTAATATGTAATTAAAAAATCACAAATATAGAAAATATTTCACTCAGTGTATTTAAATGGCAAAGCTAGAAAGTAACATTTTTTATCACAAATATTAGAATCTACAACAAAGAAACTTATTTCAATGTTAAAATACTCATACTTTAATTCCTAATAATTCTAAATTAAAACAATTTGTAAGAATTGTTCAGTTAAATATCGTATACATAATGTAATGATTGATCGAGAATTTTGATTTTTTTATTACATTTTAAAGATAGAATGGATTGGATTTTAAAAAAATCTAAATTTAGATCTTTATTATAAATGTAAAGTAACGTTGAAAATTTAAAAAATTGTTTCAAGAAACATTTTATTCGACATTAAAAAAGACTGATTAGGATTCATCGTTTGGAATATTTTAAATGTGTAAAGTGTTTCTGCTTTCAAGTCGCACTTCTCATTTTCGATTCGAAAGTACAAATTAGAATCATCGCGTGCGTCGAATCAATACTTGAACACATATCTTCCTTTCACGGTACTAACTTTCGAGTACTAATACCACCGGCATCATTACTCCAATGTAAACAATGACGCTTTCGCTATGCAAAGTAGAAATTTGTACGAGGCGCAAGTAGCAATTGACTACCTGCGATCGGTTGCGCGTGCTTTGCATACAGCATGAGTGCTGCACATCGAGTTAGTTACGCTTAAATGCAAATTGATGTTTTAATCGATCGTTTGCGATTATATGTACAATAGGCTTGTCCACTTCAATTAATCGACGCCGAATATCTTAAGAATAACATTTCTTATCATAAAGCTTACGAGTGTTTACATAAAAATCTACTCGTCTTAATTTTTCCTTTTAAACAGAAAAACAATATTCTTTATAATAAAAAAAATTAATTAATGCTAAAAGTTACATTATATATTGTATAAAAATTAAATTTTTTTCTATATATGTCATTTTTTATTGCTTATACGTATCTATATATTATTGCATTATCAAATTAGAAAGATTAAATTGGTTTTAAGAATAAAATGATCGTTGTCTGATTAGATTATTTATTGTATAGTACAGCACTAATTCCCAAGAGTCAAACTTATTATATTTTTTATATCGGGGAATTGAGATTATTATCATTCGTTTGATTAGATTATGTTTTAATAATGTGTAACATTCAATGAATGTCAGCCGATCATCCAAATAACACAGAGAGTAAAAAAAAAATTTTTTTAAATTCAAGTATGTCATCAATTCTTAGTTCATTTTCAAACGTAAAAAGAATTTTTAAAACTTTTTAGAAAAAGAATCCTTTTTCAACTGTGCTAAACAGCTGACACGCCGTCCATCACGATAGGATGCACCGTGTTATTGTAGTAACACGATGCGTGAGTTTGTATCGTGAACGCGAAAACTTTATTCACAAGCATTTATATGTTCAGCGCAACGTCCCAAATAGCCAACACTTCGCACTTGCGCGAGACAATTAGATTAACATTTAACATTGTTAACATTTAATTGTGACAACATGTAATTTTTATAAAACTAAAGTATTCTATATAGAATGTCGCTCCGAGTATAAAAATACTTAAAGATTTGCGGTGGAAGATCATAATTCTTTCAAAATAGGTTTTGATACATAATAATCAATTAATTATTGCAAAACTCTAAATCGTTACAAAACCCAAGGAGAACAATAAGTCATAATAACGTCAAAATGACATTAAAATGATTCGAAAATGATTGAAAAATGACTTTTAATGATCCTTTTAGAGTCATTTTGACATCATTATGATATCATAATAACTTTTATTTGGGAAAAAACATTAATTAGCGAACGTCAATGTTCGCTAATTCGCATCATAAAACCAATAATAAATTTGTTAACCGAAGTCATTCATCAATCGTTATATAAGACAGATAATAATCATGAGAATAAGATACGCGAAAACTTATACAGAAAAATGTGATAATTAAGAACTCACTTGATGATACGGTTTCGATCAAGTTTGAGCGCGAATAATTGGAGGCTTGCAAACGTCCTCCCTTAATATTGGTTACTACAAATCTGCATTTGAAAGCACAATTATTGGGGCGATACATGGAGCGTATTTACGTCGGCGTAATGATCAATAAGCCAATTACATGCCTATTTACAAAGCTTATTTCCAAAATGGATATTCAAGGGATCTCATAATTGGGACTCTCGATGTTTGTGCCGTAATGAAAACGGGCGTAAAGCTTGTGGTTACCTTCCTTTACGCCGATACACTCATCTAAAAGGTTGCAACACTTTTTTTTGAGTTTCGGAATACAGTCTGCTCACCAAGCGATTGGTTCTTACTTATGAATCATAGGTAAAGATCAATCGCTCGGTGAGTAGATTGCATTCCGAAAACCATAGAAAAAAATCTGTTGTAGTCCTTTTAGTCGGCGAGTGTACATCATACGCTGGCTCCATGGGACTTACAGCTTTGCTAGTAGAATAGTTGAACGTGGCTAGAGTGTTAGATCCATAATAGTACGAGATCCCACCGCGAGTTTGTGCACCTATCGCAGATGAAATGTAAAAAAAATCGAAGTTTGGGGGCAACACTAAACCCTAAGAGTGTCTAAGAAAAAGTGATCAGAAATATCATATAAAAAAATTATGAAAAAATTATTGAACTACGCGATATCTGCATTTAATGAACAAAAATTCATTCATTACTCACCCTCTTTATCCTGGCTGCCAGAGGGTTGTGATCACTTTAGGTGGCACCCTACCATTTTCATAATCTACAGATCCTCTCCTTTTCGACAGTAGTCCTTTTATAAACATACGCGATGAATCATTTTTTCAAAATTTTTTAATCAAAAAATGTAATTAATGATATTCCTGATCACTTTTTTTTTAGACAAGTTTTCTTCAGATTTGATTGACCAATTAGAAAAAAGAATTTTACAAATTGACCAGTCAAAAATTGTTTCAAAGCATTCGTAGTGAGATTTTGACCACAGCCTTCAAGTAAGAACCAATCATTCGATGAGCAAGTTGCGTTCCGAAACCCATCCAAAAAGTGTTTTAATACTTTCGTGACTGATTTATGTGCATGCGTCAACGCGCGCACGCGCACATGGCACAATGTAAGAAAACCAGTTGAATGCTAGGATCATTTTTATTGTGATTTTTCAGATCTTCAGTATATCATCAGTATAGAAGTTCAAAGTGACGGAACATTCATAAAAGATACATCACTACTCCGTTATAAAAAAGGAGACTTTAGAATGCATCAATTTCTGTCACAGATGAGTCGATCACGACGAGGAGGTTGGAAAACTAAAGCCAGGCGACTTAAGAAGACCCTCTTGTCACAGAGGGGTCTTGACCCTTCAGTTTTTAAACACAATCAGATGCCTTTCATCAACCAGCCGATCAGCAAGCATTTCTTTCTTTGCGACTATTTGAATCTCTCTTTCTCTGCAGCCGGTGATGACTTGCATGCCGCATCAGGTAACTCAACTATCAACGTCCACAAGTTCGGAGGCTTCGACGAACAAATCCACCAGCTCTTATATTCTTTAACTCATTATGACAGTAATAATATCGTCGTTGTGCAGATTTTATATATAATAAAAAAGCTATGCAAAGAAAAATGACATCGTTACTGTCATAACGAGTTACAGAATATTAGAGAAGAGATGCTATTCTATGGTTTATTAACGACGGTTTTTGCTTACGATAAGACAGAGATAAATCAAAGCTATTCTTAGAAGAAAATATTAGGATCAACTATTGAGCAACATAATATTTAATATTATGAAGATAGCATTTAGCTTATACGTTAACTTTTCTCCTCTTCTGTTATAGCCAACATAATCTTAGAAAATGGATGGCAAAAGCAAAACAAAATTTATCATATATGAAAATATTTTGAAATATTTTGAAACAGAATTTACTTTGTTTTTACAGGATCTGCACAATTGTGATATGTTACAAAAAAAAATTAGTAGCTTTACAAAACTATTTCAACAGATCGTCTAGGTAATATATATCTTATAACAATTTTTTGTTATTTATGATATTTACTTTTTTATAAAATTAAAAATGAATAATGTTTTTTTTAGCTCGGCAATATATCTTTTAAGAATGGGAGCACAAAACGAAGAATTGATGAAATATAATGGAGACACATTCAGAATTTGCAACAAACAGATTTATAACTAAAGAAGATAAAATTCACTGTGTAAAACAACGAGAACAATTAACAGCAAATCTCAATGATGTATTATTCGATGGCCCTAGTAAGGTAGTGAAACAGTGGCAACCGTATTATGAAATGTACGTATTTATATACATAACTATCAGATTTGGTGCAATTTAAAGAATAATGCATAAAAAAAATCATCTAAATTAAAAAATAAAAGAAACTGAACTGGAAATTTTTCAATCACTACAAACGGTTTAGATAATTTACAGAAACATATCATTTGATTTGAAATATGTGGAAAATAATTGTGAGCGTGTGAATAGTATTCTAGAAGAAGAGGTATATACATTCTTTTGTTTGCACATTGTACGATCTTAGTTTTGTGCAATCTTTATTTTATGTTCCCTATGAAAATATATAGCTTATTATTTTTTTCTGCATTTTCTACTTGTACAATGAAATAAGTATATAAGGATGCATTTAAATTAAAAGTTCAAAAGCAGAATGCAGAAAAACAGAAGCTGTTTAATATAATGTACAATAATGATTATATTCTGGAAAAATTGCTTTGAAACTATTGCAAATTTAATAGTAAATACTTTATAAGTATTTGTGCTATCTTTGTAATATTAAATATTATGTTGTTCAATAGTTGATTGGTATGATTACTAATATTTTCTTCTAAGAATAGCTTTGATTTATCTCTGTCGAATGGGTGCAAGCAACAATCAGGATTAAATCTAAAAACATATCATTTAACAATGAGATTCATTACAGCGGTTACAAAACAACTTTTTTTAACGCAATTAATATATAAGAATGTATAATGCCATTTTGTATATTTTTTTTTCATAGGCAGATACAATTAGAAAATGGAAACAATGATATTCTTCAATATTCATCAATAACAACGTCAGTCGTTATAACGTCAGTCGAAATAGTGAATGTCGAAAGCGATACAGATATTAATACTGGTAAAAAATATATTTTACATACAGATATATACATATATAATATACTACGCATTTTATAATATACTGTTACACAATAAGATGAAGACTATTTAATAACTGCATTCAGTGGACTCAATAGTTGAGTGAGCGCTCGCTGTTGTTCTATTCTTTTAGATCATCTAATTAGACCTAGACGAATATATTAATAGTAGCGAGCACTTACTCAACTGTTGAATCCATTAAATGCACCTAATGTATTACAAATTATATTTACCAGGGAATGGAAAGTTACTTTATAAAAGTAACAAATTACTCGTTATCGAATAGAAAGAGTAATAAGTTATCTACTACTTACCGTTACTACTTACTAATTTTTAAAACTAACTAGTTACCATTACTTGAGAAAGTAACTTTTCGTTACTTTTTTAAAATCGACAACTACAAATTATAACAGTCAAGTGCCTAAGAGCTTTCTAGTCTCAAACGCCTATGTCTAGTGTCCAATCGAAGTGTGTCCAATTGTGTGCAAAGTAACGAAAAGTAATTGTAAAATTCGTTACGAAAAAATGTAACTACGTTACCATTACAGTTACCAAAAGAAAGTAATGCAGTTACCAGTTATCTTGTAAAAAGGTAATTTGTAACTGTAACTTCATTACAAGTATATATATATATATATATAGATAATGAGTTACTTCCATTCCCTGGTATTTACCACATATACACACATATTTATATTTACATATTTATATTTACAGAACCACGTACGCTTGAAGAAAAATTAGAAAGTGAGATAAATAAGAAAACTGATGAGCTAACAGATGTAGAATGTTTAAATAATGAACAAGTCGTTAAAATCAATATAAAAGGAAGGCCTACAAAAGGAAGACCTACTGATACAAAAAGAAGGAGAACAACGAAAACAATACAACAAATTAAAAAAAAAATCTGTTGCGTAGTGCAGTTTTATATAAAATGTAGTATAATGCAGAATAAACGCACAATTTTTGTTCAAATTGTTTTGAAACAAAGTATATACATGCGCATAAAACTATGTACAAAATGAAGGAGTAAGAATAAATATTAAATATTAATGTAAAGAAATGAGAAATAGAGGTTACATAATGTACAATAAATATATATAAGATATAAAACATTCAAAATATCTTCTATCTTATTTATATTCATTATATATTAATCTATTTTTGTGTTTAATCTATTTTTTTATTTTTTATACGTATTAACATTCAATATTTATTCCAATTTCTTTATTATCCGAAAATCCTAATATATATGTATAAAATTAAGACTACATGTGTATGTTATTATTTATTTATTTTACAGAAAAAGAGAATTTACGATGTGCAATTGTAAAAAACACGAAAAAGATTTGCGAAAATTTCAGAAAGTAATGCTAAAGCTTTGCAGATAGTATATTTAATATTGCATTATGATATGTGTGCCAAGTTTATTATATAATAAAATATTTTATCTCTCTTTTGTGTGTGTTACAGTTGTTTGCAGAATGCAATGGAGCAAACTAATGCTGCAATGATAGCAGCGGAAAATGATCGTCAACGGAACGTTTTGGACGAATAATGGCTTACATTGGATAAGAAAAAGGTTACAAGTACATGAAAATCTGCTTCAAACTTTGAATAGTGTACATAGATTAATGGAAAAAATATTGAACAAAAATAAATAGGTTTGAGTTTATTCTGTATATATATGTTTTTTGTACTGCTGCTTTTATTTTAAAAGAAATTAATATTTGTTTAAGTATAATAAGTATGTAATATTAAATTAACGTCCAATTTCTTCACCTCTAGATAAGTTGCGGATCCTGGAAATATCTTCATTGTAATCTGGGATATCTCTTGGATAAAGTTATCTAGAGGTGAAGAAATTTGGCATAAGTATATAATACGTACATGTTTCTTTTAGATTAAAAATGTTATTATTACTTTTAAATAAATAAATTAATTCCTTTCACAGTATCTTCCACAATAAAATGTTTCTGTATGCGTGTGGCAAGTGTTCGTCCTTGAAATTCTATCTTCATGATCTATATTGAGCTTATGATACAAGTTTTCACACATTGTCTATTTCGTCTAATTCCACGTCTTGCCATGTGCAATCCTTATATTGTGCATGTCAGCATATATATTAATAATTTTGCCAGCCCTACCTGGTTAACACATTAACTCTTCTGAGCCGACATCTAAACGCTGTTCTTCAAACATCAAAGTAATGTTCTATACATGATACCTGTTCTATACCTATCACAAATACGCATTAGAACCTAGGCTATTTGATATTTCGTGTTTTTAAAGGAATCATTAGCCATAGCCCTAAGCTGCATCCGTCATCATCTTACTCAGCAAACGAGAAATCATTGAGAAATATTGAAAATATTATTCATTAAAGTCGAAATCAAGTTTTTGAATTTTTTAAATCTGCTTTCTATTCATAATCCGCTTGAATCAGTAATTATGGATTAGTTTTTTTTTCTGTATCTCAATGTGCATAGAAATGTAACATGCGACCAATCCTATTGAAACCGTAATTATATATTGGTAATTTACTTTTGGTATCTTACCCAATGTTCAAAGTAATGAACGTGCGACTAATTCATTTGAATTTAATGTGCGATATTGAAGAATTGTCTAACATAGGAGATTCACCAACTGCTTGTCATCGACAAGTAATAGTCTCAGAAAGTAATATCATTGAAAAGCACACATCAAGGTAATATACATAAGTCGTTGCCTCTCAAACAAAAACCCCGGTGTGATACACAGAGTGTGTAACATTGTGGATCCATGGCGACAAGGTAATTTTTAGACATAACTCTCGTCATGATAGTGCAGGTTATATCTGGGAGTCATCCTAGCTGTTGTCGTGAATCTGTAATATTGTATATTCTGTGTATAGTACTATAAGGCTCATTCAGGAAGAAACGATTCATATATCTGTGATCACCTTGGTGCATGCTTTCCAATGATAAATCACTTTCTGGGATCGCAGACCAGCATTTCATTTCTGAATCTATATGAATCTACTAGAGTTCATATCATTATATTTATCTAGAAACGTAATCAGTATGTTCAGTCTCTATAAAATTCAATACCTTGTTTGCGAATAATGCGAATTCGAAAACTTGATTTATATGGATTTATCTAATTCAATCCGTTTGCTGGGATAAGATTAAAATAAGTAAGTTATAAGATTCTGAAGAATATAAATTCGGATAACACAATATTAGAGAATTGTTTGAGCTTAGGTGTCTTGTGTCGAATTTATTATATATAAACAAGTAAGTGAGTCAATAAATAAATTCAAATATTTTGATAATATGGTCATTGTTTAATTGGTTTTTTTATGTTATCATTCTCAGTGATAAAATGATAAGTAACTAGTCGAATACTAATACGAATTCATACATGATATTACTTAATCTATAGTCGAGTGAACACATTAACTCCTCTTTGTATATAACTTAGACATCCATATGCAATTTTATTATAAATCGTCTTATGGAGTGACAGATTCTCAGTGAGACGGTATAATTTAAAGAAATAAATTGAAGAAATAATTTATATTAAAAATTGTAAATTTCAAGAAAATCTTAATAAAATAAAGTCAATGATATATAAAAAATTTTCATTTTATATTATGTATTAAGTTCAAATAAAAGTATTAATTTATTTTCTATTTAATTTTATATATAATATTTTATATATGTATGTATTTATTATTATTATACA